TACGGAAAAGGTCACCTGTTCTCCTTGTCTCTTCTTCCCTCCCTGACATCTGTTTCTCTAGTCAAGCCTGCACCTGTTAATCTTTTTCTAATGGGCCATCAATCACCCCTGCAAAGCATTCTTCCCAAAGAGAGTGAGGGGCAGGAAGGAATAGGCAGGAAAGGTACAGACAGACAGAGATAAGGACAGAAAAAGGAAAAGGTGGGGGTACCCAATGTAAGCTTATTAACATTATGTGGAGAAAGGAAAGGGAAGCAAAAAAAGAAGAGTTAAGTGATGCAGATAAAAAGAGATGCAGAGAAAGAATGAAAACATGGAAAAGAAAGGAAAGAAAAGAAGAAGGGAGAGGAACCAGCTGGATTCATGAGACCTGAGGCAACACACTCATAGAGCAAAGGCAGACCCTACATTGCAGCCATTTGTGGAGAGACAGATAATTAGCCAGAGTGAAAAGAACGATTAGCTTTGAGCCCGAGGTGTTGTCGGCAGGGCTGGGAGCCCCAAGGGGGCCGTAACCTCCCAGGAATTCTGTGACATCTGGGACTAGCAATACCATCATGCGCTTTCAGCTTAATTATGAATGACAGCTGACACAGCGGAGGGCTGGGTCACTGTGTGTGTGTAGTGGGGGTGGGAAACAGTTTCTCCCTGGCACAGGGAGTGTAGTCTTAATGGAGGAGGAAGACTAAAAACAAGCGTTCCCTTCTGAAAAGCTATAGCCAACTTGTTAACTTAGAGCTGTGGGACACTGCTAGAGATCAAACAAGTGGCTGCCTGACATTTGTTTCCAGAACCTTTTCAGAGGTTTAGCAAAAAATGGCAGGGTTCATCCTCCTTCCTTTCTTCTGTGACCTCCTGGCTTTCTCCAAAAGCAGAAGGACTGAAATGGCCATTGGGAAAGTCCTGCACTCACAACAGCTCCTGCCCATCTGGAAGCTGGGAGCCCCAGCAGTCTCATCAGAACAAAGGCCTGCTTATTTTGGTGATTTCTGGTCCTGGAGAATGCACTTATGTCTCAGAATAGTGTGGGGGACAACTTAAATTGGGCCTCTCCAAAATGCAGTCATGAGGTCGGTGGGGCAGTCAGAGCAGAGTGGTAGAAGGTTGCGTGGGGCCAATTTTAATTTGATCTCACATGGTTTGCCAAGTCTGAATCTGGATCTTTCCAAATGCAAGAAACAATGATCCAGATTCCCTTGACAGTGAACCCTTCCCCTTCTACACTAATCAGATGCCATGTGCAGAGGCATAACAGCCAGGGTCTAATACCTTGGGTGGCATCAGCAGCAGGGCCAGGCTGGCTCGAGTAGCTGGGCTTCCTGCAGTGGCCGTGGCACTTGGATGGGTAGTGATATCAGCTGCCATCCTTGTGCCCCCTCTGTGTAGGCATTCAAGGCTGGTGCCCCTGTAGCCCATTGCTCATTATACTACTGGCCATGTGAGAAAGCGAATGCAACTTTCCTGTGGAGGCTAGCCAATTTCATCCAAAGTTCCTGCCCCAGTGACGAGGTGACAGATCTGGGGTGAAGAAGAGAAGGTCTTAACCACCAATCCTCATTGCCCTATTTTAACACAGACATTTTTAACCCAGGCCACTGATGGCACTGGATTTATGACCCAGATATCTTGTTTCGGGCAGACTCACACCCTCAGACTGACCACGACCTCTCTATTCGATAACCGGCAAATTTGAATGATGTCCAGTGACAGCAGATAAGACTAAGGCAAATAATTTTTAATCTACCAGTCCCAGGGTTCACAGAATCAAGGTACATCTGGCCAGTACATGAGTGCGACTCTGAGGTTTTCTCTTGAATGTCAGATGTCAGCAGCCTGGGCATTGGAGGGTGAGGCCCGCCCCCTATGTCCACCAGTCGGGTGGGTGAGACAGGCTAGTGGTATGCCCTCAGTTCATAGTGGCCTTAGGTTCCCCTCTCAGGAAATCCCTCTTTTTGTATTCTTTTCCCCCCTCTGATGACTCTTCATCTCTGGGCATTGCTGATCCGTCTCCCTGTGGTCGTCATACTGTCCACATTCTGTCCTGTCATTATATTCCTTTGTTTTACAAACCCATCATATGCACACATTCTAATTTGGTTTTTTGCTGGTTTCTCCTAATTTGGTCTGTTCTGCAAAGCCAAAAATCCCAGGGCCTTGCAGTTGGGCACTATGACCTAATGCCATCTTATCTCATGTTATGGAACAGTGTGGTACATGTCTTCAGTTTCGCAGCCTGTGTATTTGCTTGCTGGTTGCCTGTGTCAGATACAGTGGGCCTTGAAGGAAACTGTCACAAACAGACTTTTAGCAACCAATTAACCCTTGGCATTACCCTGGATCATTGTTTTAATAAATCTACTTTACCGATAAGCCAATTCCCAAAAGCACACCTCTAAATACCATTTTCTAGCCATCAACCATCTATCTTGTCCATTTAGTCCAGTGTCCAGCCTCTGATAGTGACCAGCATCAGATGCAACACAGGAAGGGAGGTAAAAGAAACTCTGCAGCAGACAGGTATCAAGTAGACTGTCTGTAGGAGGAATTTTCTTCTACCAAGTCTAAATTGGCAGCTCTGGTGAAACTGAACTGGGGCAACTCTTTGGGCCAGATGGCTCAGGCAGATCTTTGACTCCTACTGCCCAGGGTAGCACAGAACCAGCCACACAAATCAGTTCTCTGATATCTGTACCTTGTAAATACAGTAGAGAGACATGACTGATAGAAAAATTTTCCTAATCTCTTCATACTTCTCCACTACAACAACACAACTTGACAGTAACTGTAAAATTGCAAACTAGAGATGGAAAACGCACACACTGTGATATTTAGTTCAAATCCCTGTCACAGAACCCAGGCAGAACTGCATGTTGCTTTGTCCACATCCAGTTTTAAATGACCTAAACGAAGGGGTTTGTCCTGTTACCCTAGGGAGATGTCTCCACAGCTTAATCCATCTCATGCTCCTGGACTGGATGTCTACTGAATGTCTCTGACAAGCAGCAAACAGTAAAAAAGGGAAACAGCAACTACACAACATGAACCAGTGGAGCTAGTAAATGATGATACAGATGAAAACTACAGGGGGAAGTGCAGGAAGGTGATTTTCTCTTGGACTTCTTCCAGTGCTGTGCTGTACATTTTAATGAAGAACAGCAGAATGGACTACTGCCATATGTAGACTGCATACTTACTATGCCCAGCAGTGGTGTCCTCATATGGGCTGCCTCCCGAACTGGAAGTGGGGTAACTGCTTTTGTATGGCACTGTGGGTAGGCTAATTATCACTGTCAAATGAAAGTATCAATTAGCCCACCTCCATTTTTGCTAGTCCACCCATAGAACCAGAAGGACACACGTATATTGCTCTCAGTTCAGGAGGCAGCCCACCTGGAGCAATATGCCCCGTTTGACAGCACCACAGCAAAGTACAGTCATTACCACAAACATGTGATTTCCTGATTGTCCACACTGTATCTTATAGGCAGGTATTATTAAGTGCAAACAGATTCAAAGGATGAGGAAAAACTGGTCTGCAGTAGGACAAGGCCCATGGCAATCTACAGCTATGCCTTTCTGCTTGTGCCATGAAACAGCCCCATATGAAATGTTAATGGAGAGGGTATTATAAGGCATGCTACAAGGTACTTAATCTATCCTGTGCCTCAGGACCGTACAATAAAATAGGATGATAATCCCTTCTTTGCCTCACATGGGTGTTATCAGGATAAAATACTTTAATGGCACTGAGGTGCTTGGAGACTACAGTAATGAGGGTCATATCTGTGCTTAGACAAATGTGTTTGCTTTACATGTCTCCATCCACCTGTCACTTGAGGCCATCATAGCAAGTAGCGGCTTGTGTGGTCTCAACCCCTCAAAGAGAATGGAGGAAAGAGAGGAATTGCTGGTTGCAGCATTCAAAGGACTCACCTGTTTTCCTCAGTCCTTGTATACAGCTAGGCTGTGCTCATGCATCTCTTAATTAAGCTAGAAAGACTAGCAAGCTGATGGATTTGAATTGAGATGCTGGTAAAGTGCCTGTGACATCCCCAGAGGGTACATTAAATTAACCAAATAGACTAAGGATTCAGTCAGCTAATGAAGAGAGAAATGAGGGAGAGAGGTGGGGGAAATGGAGGAGACAAGGGAAAAGAGAGAGAGAGCAGAGGGATAGAGGAGACAAAGAGAGAAAGAAAAGTGGAGGATGAAAGAGAGAATAAAAGGAACAGAAGGAGATGAAAGGAAATTAGATGGAGGCAGACACATGACTGAGTGCAAAAGCAGGGGATAAAAAGGCCCTTGTGGATGCATCTCAAAGTCATGCTGGAATCTTCTGCACTACAACCTGTGTGCACTTTGCTCTGTCTACCTCTACAAGGTTGTAAGCTCCTGTGAAAGGGCCCAGGACTCCTTAAGAGGCTCATACACCAACAAGCTTGCTGTTGATGCTCTATAAACAATAACAAATTGAGGAAGAGAAGAGCCTGAGCGTCTAAGTGGACTTGGGTACCTCAGTGTGAGTCTACTGCATCCTTTTCAAAACCCTGGAAATCCATTAATGCATCTGATTTTGTCACTTACAGCAATCTGACCCTTAAGACTGAAACACAAAAAAGCACCGAGGAGGAAAAGGATCCACCTCCTTTTTGCACTAACTGTTTTTCAGAGACCTGAGAAAGGTGGGGTAGAATTGCACATAAGTGCCAAAGTCCACTTCAGCATCTAATAGGTAGAACAGAATCTGGACCTTTGTGACAAGAGGAAGCAAATGCCCCTGCCTCCAAGAGGCTCTCCTCAGAACATAACAAGATTGTTCAATTTTGGATGCTGCCCAAGGGGACCCTCTCATACATGAATCCAGACCATGTGGGACTCTTAATTCCATTGTGTGTGACCTACCTGACCCATGGTGCTACCGTCTACCCATTCTCATTGTCCATTCCCACCCCCAGCTGGCACACTGAATTCAGATTCCCAGTTCTCCCCAGGGCTGTTACCTGTTCATGGTGCTCAATGCCCATGCTGATGGTGTTCACCAGGATCGCTATCATGATCCCACGGTTGAAATACTTGCTCTCCACAATCCCTCTCAGTTTGACTCTCACTTCCTGCCACATGTCACTACACAGCCTCATCGGTTTGCCCTCTTCCCCCTCCTCTTCCTCTTTCTCCAGCTCAGCAACACCATTGCTTTCCCTGCTTCCTTCTCCCTCCTCTTCACCGGCCCCTCCATCCTCCTGGTCTGAGTCAGCACTGTCAAGGATGGAGAGCCTCCGGGCTGCTTCACGCTGTACTCTGTGGCATCTTGGGCAGTTGTTGGGGTCAGAAGTCAGTGTCACGGCAATGGGCTGGACAAGGGCCTGAGGAGTGTAGTCAAGAGAGTTGTGTTTCTGACAATGTCCTAGGAAAAGAAAGGATTAAATGTAAAGAAGCAGGGTCAAATTTCCAAATGAGGCTTCAAATCAAGGTACCAGCTTTACATCTGGGACTTTAAATAGGTGCCTAAGATAGCTATGATTTTTAACATTGAGGGAGAATGGAACAGTCCATCAAGGGAAGTGGTAAATTCATCATCATTTGAGGTCTTTACATTGAGATTGGATGCCTTTGTAAAATATATGCTGTACTTCAGCTAAAAGTGATTAGGCTCAATGGTCTTCACTTACATAGTAAGGAAGAATTATTTCTTCCAGTGCAGGCATCACAGGATGAAATTTGGCAGCCTGTGCTACCCAGAAGGTCAGACAAAATGATCACAGCAGTTCCTTCTGGCCTTAAAATCTTTGAGTGCTCATTGAGAACCCAAATGCTGAACTGTGCTCTCTCATTTAGATACCTGAGTTTTGAAAGTATCTTAAAGAGCCAGAAAAGAGACTGAAAATAACATAGTCTTACCTACCACCCTCTATCAAATCAGATCTGTTGGCTTTCATGACAAAACCAGGGTTTTATATCTTTTTCCTCCTGTTAGCCCTGGAGTGCCAGCACACCAAAGGGAGAGTGAGCTGGCATCTAACCTAGCTTTGGCATCAAAGTGCCAGTTGCAGGATCTTTGTTAGTGAGTAAGATGTGCAAAAGCAAAAGGCTGAGTTTGCAAGGCTGACAGTTAGAAAATCTATCCTTTCACTTGTAAATTGGCCACATGTCATCTGGAAGCCACTGAGAAGCAATTAGCGCACACAACCCCACTGAGCCATTTGTACAGTCACTTTCGAGGCCAGAACCTCAACTGAAATTATAGAATTGTACCTCATGTCTGATCGCACACATGAAAAAAACTTGCTTTCTCACCTTTTAAAAATTAAGCAAGTTCCCCACCCCTCAAAGTTATGCTAATACATCTCAAAACTGTGTTCTTCAGCACCTCTTTCCTACTGAAACCACCCTCAATAAATTGCCAAACCTTCTCAACTCTGATCCATTGTACCCACTTTGAGCTTTATCCTGAGGTCCTACAGGATCTCCTCATACACTTCAACCCTCTCCCCACACTTTCTGCTAATTCCCCTTCACCCTAGAGTACCAAATACTCAGATGTACCAGAGCCCTCCACATGCCTCTGTTGATACCTTTCAGTCCTGTTAAGCAACCGCCCTTGAAACTTTAGACCTGGGCTTCCCTTACAGCTTGTCCAATGAATGAAATTCCTGTTGGTGACACCTACTGCTGTTTCTCCTTGGGATCCTGGTGACAATATTAACTCTGAATTTTGTGTTCTAGGAACACATGCCCTTTGGCAGGTTGGTACATGACAAAACTCCTAGCTGCTGTCATATTTCCAGCTTTCCCCACAGAATTCTTACTGTAGCATCTCTGTCCTTTCCCATTCATGTCTGGCTTCATGTTGCCTGGCTCCATCCGGCCCTGGCGTCGGTTCTGCAGGTTGTTGTAGAGGCTGAGGGTGCGGCGTTTGGCTTTGCGCACAATGTGGCAGATGTACTGGAAGATTTCCTCATAGCAGTCACCTGGCTCCATGTAGCTGGCCACAGTGCTGGAGGACAGATACCGTGCTCGCTGCTCCTGCATGAGCTGGTGCTCCCGCTGCTTGGTCTCAGAGAACTGTGTGGCTATGACCACGAGGCATAGGTTAATCATGAAAAAGGAGCCAACCTAGGACCAGACAAGGAGGAGCAGGAAGGAACAACAATGGTAGGAAGTAGGGAAAAAAGAGATGAAAAGGAAAGTGGAAAAGGAAAATAAAACAGGAGGAAGACAGGGGAAAGGAAAAAGAGAACTGAGATTCTGTCCAAATAGGTGGGGCTGCAGTTCTCCGGGAAAACCATACCTAGCTGCCTGAGAACAACTCACTTGATGTGATTTTTACCACCTGGGCCAGTATCAAGGCACTAAACTGAGATGAACTTCCTCCCTTCCCCTTTTTAAATATTCTTTCAGACTTTCATTACCCATCCTCTAGAACAGTGGTTTTCAACTTTTTTTCATTTGTGGATCCCTAAAAAATTTCAAATGGAAGCGCAGTCCCTTTTGGAAATTTTGAATGGAAGTATGGACCCCTTTGAATTGTAAGTGTGGGTATTCACATACTTTTAATTGCTCATAGTCATCTTTTGCAGACCCCTTAGACATAGTCTGCAGACCCCCAGGGGTCCACAGACTACAGATTGAAAACCACTGCCCTCAAAAGCAAAAAGGGCACCTGCCCTACTTCATTCCATGACTTGTCTCCTCTAAGTTATCGGTGCCTTGGTTTGCCCATCCATAAAATGGAGACAACAATGCTTAATCCTCAAATATCTTTGCAGAAAAATCACTATAGTGCTGCTAAGTATTATTAAATGTGTGGAATCTGCATTAGAAGATCAACAGGGGTGGGGCAGGGATTCAATAAGAATGCAAGCCTGGTCCACGTGAGGGATTTTGAAGCCCGCTTATAACATTTTTTTGAAAGTTGTTCCAACATGGATGGCAACTGCTCTCAATGGAGCTGTAAACTGCAGAATAAGAGTGATAAAAAGGACAGCTTTCTTTCTGAACGGTGACAGGCTTTCCATGCTTTTCTGGAGTGGAGTTTAGGTGCTACCTGTGGAGACGACAGAAGTAGGTTCTGATGGACCCTAAAAAGGACTGTGGAGACAAGGAGTCCCAAAGAAACAAATAAAAAATGGAACTGGGTGCCTTTGCCCTCTGGGCCATGCGTGGGGGCAACTTTCTTAGAGCAAGGGAAAAACTTGGGCTGGAATACTATTAAGAAAGTAGCAGCAGTGCAGTTTCCATAATTGGATTTAGGACCACTAACAAAAAAACTGAATCAGCTTTAGCCTTTCCTTCTTGAGATGGTAGCTCTCATCCTGTGGCTGCTTCCCCATCCTGTATCTCAGCTCATCTTGCTAAGCTGTAAAAATGCAACCCTTTATGAGAGAGGGAGGTGCAAAGAGTAGGCAAAGGAGAAAGCTCCTGTGTCAACTCCACCACCTCCCTGTACCTGAAAAGGAAGACATAGAGACAGATTTTCAGGAGGGTCCAAGTGTAACTTTGCCTACTAAAATAGCTGGTATCCCTCAGGTCCATCCCACGTGCCTCTTCACCCCTCCCACCTACTCTCTCTCTCACACATATACACACAGGTGCCTAGTGGCTTCATCATGAGATTCAATACAGTGGCTTTTAATATTTCAAAGGGGAGATGTATGTGCTAGTATTTAAATAAGCCTTTGAAAAATGAAGCTGCTCCCTGCCAGATTCAGTGTTAGGACAATATGCCGCTTCAAAATAAAGAGCTTTTTGTTTTCCCCTAGTGCCCTTCAAAGCTGTTCTAAATCTGTTCATCTTAATTTATATAGTCCTTCTCTCCCTCATGCCAGCCCATCTGCCCTTCAGGTTCTTTATGTGGCGTTTCAGGGGGGAAAGAAAAAGAAAGAAAGAAAAAAGAAAACGGTTATGTGGTTTAGAGCCCTTTGCCCCTTACTCCCCAAAAATTCTGCATAGTCCATGTCTTCGTCATGTTTTCAGTGATGACTCCAAGCCTTTTGCAGATGTGTTCCTCTCTGACACACAAACACACACACCCTTACATTTTTCCATCCTCATTGTCTCCCCCCTCCCACACTGAATGAACCGAAGTGGAAGTTTGGGAGCTGGGAATATTTTTTTAGTAGCATTTTAATGACACCCATTCCTGTGGTATCCAGGCATCCCACAGACTTAAACTGATAAAAACCTACAATATTCCTGGGTCAGGAGGGAGGCTCCAGTTTGCAGAGGGAGGAACTTACGGACAAAGAAGTAAAATGAGACTCATGAGTATAACTGATATTTTCTGCTCCTTAATCCTGTCCCTCAAGTCAACCCATTCTTCATGATCTCATCCAAGACTGTGAGAAAAAGGAAGACGAAGAAGGACTAGATGTGGCTACCAGATCACCTGTTCAGGAACCATTCAGTGAAAGTCATTAAATGCAAACAATATGCTTGTTGAATTCCTAAGAGAACTGGCAGGTCCACCTTCACATTGCCCTTCAGGCTTTGGGCTTGGAAGCTGATACTCATTCTTTACTGAGTGTGAATGGTGCACTGGTCTATCCCTTTTATGGACATTGTGGGGCTGAAGCCAGACATTGCTGTGCCCCTTTAAGAACAGGTAGTTCTGAGAAGCATTACCAAACTAGGATGGGAATGGGTCCTCTGCCTGCTAACGATTAACAAGGAGAGATCTTGACCCCGTTAAGTAGGAGACTTGAGAACTTTCAGTCTACAGTATGGCTGGGGAAGCCAGTCTGGATTAAAACACAGCTCCAGGAAAGGAAGTTACAGAGACTTTAATTAAGAGCTTGAAACCAAGGATCCAGGCTTGGAAGAGAACTTCAGGGAAAGACCCAAAGGCTGCTGCGGGACTAGTAGAACAACCCTGATTGGAAAGAACCAAAAGATGGTGATGGTCTGAAGCCCCAGAAAGGAATGGTTTGAACCTGAAAAGGTCAGAACTGTATTTGGTGAGGTCTCAATAAAGAAGACCCCAAAAGAGTGGTGTGCTGGGACTGCTTCCTGTAAATAAGTATTTGGCATTAAATAAGCTATGGGATCGAGTGCATCTGTGGTGTAATTTCACAGAAGGCAAAGGAGTTAACCTAGAAATAATTCGGCCTATGGTCTGTGCTTGGAGCAGTTTACAGTCTAACTCATGGTTCATCTCTTGCAATGGCTGACAGAAATAACATTAAGCATCATCTGCAAATGAATAGGGTGTGTCTAGAAATGTCACCGACACTCAGCTGTAAAATCTCAAGATGAGTGTTTAATTGAGGGTTTTCAGATGACTGTGAAAATTCAGAGACAACACTGAAATCAGAAGTTGATCTTGTGAGTTGATGTGAGTTGATCTTGAATTAAGAAGATGCTCCATCTGACTGAATGTTCACCTTTAGTATCCAATATGCAATTTGGGACTACTCGAATTTAAGGGGAAGAAGCTCGCCCCTTCTTACACATGCATATTTAAAAGGCTAAATGCTGCCTTCATGAAGGTACCGTGCAATTCCTGCCAACTTCTGTGTATAACAGCGTGACATTAAATTCTGTCCCTACTTACATTGTACAAGCTGGGATACCCCAATGGTACTGCTTAAGTGAAAATGGAGGTTGGTCCAGTCAAATATGTCTACTTCAGGAGGTGAGGGGAGAGAGGCGAATGAATAAATTGGAAGTAATGAAAGCATCTACTAAGTGCATCAAAAGCACTGGCTAATTGGTTTGCTTTTGGGGCTGAACATCTGTAGGCTAGGTCTTGTACCAGTTTCAGATAAAACAACTCTAGCTGCAATAATAGTGGACTTCCACCAATAAGGACTGAGGCTGAAGCAGAGTGCTTTTCATGAGAAGTGGGGGAGGCTGCCTCACCATGTAAAGGAATCTTGCCTCTATAATTAAAAAAAAAGCTTGTAAGTTTGATGAGACTGATAGACCACATCTCAGCCTTTTGTTTCTGTCAACTAAAATCGAGCTAAGGCAAAAGAACCCATTCAGGTGTCAGCCACAATGAAGCTCTTCAATCATGACTGTCTAGCTGCTTTTAAAAATATTCCCTTCTCTTTCCTTTTCATTAGTCCTCACATATTCTCTTTTTGTCTCCTCCTCATCATCCTCCATGTGGGCAGTAACTTAGAAACGAGGCAGAAGGCAGGGCATGTTGTAGCATGTGACAAAGTAGGCTGTGGTCTACAAATGCTCATGTGTCTCCGAACTGCCATACCTTTTGCCTGACTTCAGAATAACATGACTAACCACCTCTGTCTTCTTGATAACAAGAAGAAACTTGGAATCCAGATGCACAAGCAGTGTAGTGCTGAGTATGGTATTGATATCTAGATAGAGTTTCTGTAGCTGAAAAGAAACCAGCTCCAGCCTCTTAGTGATTCATTCATACCTCTCCTCACTTATTTTATTCAAAACAAAAATAAACATTCACAATAGGCAATTCAGCCTGTAAACTGTGTGCTTAAGTAACATAAAACCTTTTCTTCCTATTACTATCCCACTTCTCTTCCTCCTTTGCCTCATCCACTGAGTACTACACCCACCTGTCTGCACTGGCCCAGGTGATGTTGTTAGATCTTTGGGGCAGAGACTGTTTTCCATTTCAGGTGTGTATGTCATTCAAAATATTTGGCCCCTGCTCATAATTCAGGTCTCTGGGCACTACTGCAAGACAAATCATGAAAATGGGCTACTCAGGACTGGCATATGTATAAAGAGGAGGGAGAGGGGGAAATGCATTTATCTGTGCTTGGAATAGAACCTAGATGTAGTGCTAAGGAGAAGAAACCAAAATGGATTTTGGGGCCCTTGGAACAGACTCTAGGTAGAGATCTTTGGGAAGAGAATAAAATCCTAAACTGGACTTCCAGGTCCCAAAGAATATATATTGGGTGTACTCCTCTAGGGGTGTGTCTACATGTGATGCTACATCGCCATAGCAATGCGCTACAGTGACTTAGCACTGGTAGGCACAAACCATGATGCTGCAGCTATGTCACCATAGCAATGTACACCCTTGTTATAGTACATTGCTATGATGATATAGTGGCTAAAAATAACCATGTGCCACTGGCACAGGGCAATATGGGCTCTTACTGCACCGTCATTTAGTACTTCCTTTTGGAAGTACTAAAAATAGTGTGGTAACAACAGCATTGTAGGGGCATGTGTAGACACACCCTAGGAGGAAGAGATGAACCTGATCTGTATTTGTGTACGACTGGCAAGGATCCTGGATACAACCTTCAGAAACTGAATCCCTGAGGAACCTGGAATAAAGGACAGTACAGTCCTTTCCTACCCAGCATCCTTTGTTTATATAAAATACATGGTCTCTCTCAGAAGCCTTGATACAGAAAGCTGGGACACTCTGAGCCTAGGTTATAAGATAGGAATTCACCAGCATGAGAAGTCACTTCATACTTACGATTATCAGCAAGATAAAGTAGATAAAGTTGTAGAATGAATGAGCATCCATCACATAATACATAATCTCCACCCACCCTTCCAGTGTGATCACCTGCAAAGAAAGGAGAAAGCGAGAGAGACAAGAATGAATCCAGGAGTACCACATCCCTCTACATGGCACAGCTGATGCTGATGAGCAGAAGGTCATAAATAAAATACAGGAAAGCTGAAAAACTTCCAATCCAGGATATAAGCATGATTCTTTTAGGTGAAGAAGGCATGCTACCAAATCCTGTGAGATTATACTAGTTACCCATATAGATATTCATTCAACTACTTCATTTCCCTGAAACAAAGTGAAGGTAGAAGAACTCAGAATGGATTTCTGTGCCTCCTGAATTGGATTCTGGGTACAGCCTCAGAAATGAGGTGGAGAAAAAACAGATCTGGATTCCAGATCCCATCTGGAATGTGTTTCTACAACCTTAACATGGATTACACATACAGGCTCCTTTTCCAGCCAGGTCATTGTAGTTATAACAGCACCTAACTCATTTCAGTGTGATGGTGAGAGAGCACCATATGGCTGAAAAAGGAATTGGACAAAGACCTGGATCCCAGCTGGGAAGCTAATCTTCTCTCACCTGAAATATAACAATCCAGGCATAGCCAATATTGTCAAAATTGATGGCGCCTTTGTGTGGGTTGGTATTGCCTGTGCGGCAAACATTGTAGTACTGGTTCCAGTTGACGCACATGCCACTGACATTGAACTCCTGCCGGACAGAGTTGTAGTAATAGTAGTCATCTTTGTCCAAACAGCACTCGTGGCCCCTCTCCTTCAGTGGTGGGATCTCATGACACCCCATGATGCCATTGTCTCCTGACAGTGAGCAGATGAAGGGCATCTCATCATCCTCCTCGGGTTGGTAATACGGGGGTAAGACAATGTCGCCTTGTCTAAGAGGATGAAAAACAAACTGATGAAGTTACTGTGACAAATGTTCACTATAGTGACATTTGAGGAACTAGAAGCTGCCACTTTGGTGCAAGAAATGTGTTGAATAAATGACCTATAGATGTATTTTGAAGGAGGCTGGCTGGAAAATAATAGCTTTGTGAGTTGGTCCCCAATTTTGTAGAGCCCTGTTTGGGGTTAGACTTCATGGTCTTAAGCAGAATTCTACCATCCACCATCCCTGAGGGATAGTAAAGAAGCTTTACATCTGCCAAAGGAAAATATGTGCATTCAGATCATCTACTTAGTTGGTATCAAAGTCCATGCTGAATACCATATAAAGAAAATGGCATCGAGCCATGTTGTGATGTACCCATGTATGGAACTATAAATAGATGCGTCTTGCAACGTTTGGCCGTAAACTTCTTTGCATTGCCCAACCCCCCAGTTAATACAAACATAAAATTGCAGTTGAGCTCTCAAAACTCAAGAAATGCAAATTTAAAACTGTACCAAAAGAAGGGAGTTAATTCCAAGTTCACATATTATTTATTAAAGAATACCATTTTTTCCACAACCTTCAAAATACATCTGCACTTGACAAACTTACAATAAGATACGAACAAGAAATCTGTGATTTTTCATTCAAACTTAACATGGTCTTCTTCAGTTTTTGGTGTGCTGCAATAGGTATTGCGTTAATATAGGTGGTATTTTTTATTAAATACCATGGAGTGGTGTAAGGTGTTGAGAAAAAAAAGAAAAATGAAAAGCCTCTTGGTCTGCAGCTGAAAGGCACTAATATATAAAGGCATATATGTGCATATACATATTGGATGCAAACATTTTTGTGTGGAAATCAAAGGGTCTAGTACAATAAGTCCTGAGACAATAACCGTACCACTCTTTCAATGTGAAAAATATAATCGTTCTTTGATATAATGGACATTAAACAGTTTGCACCCTACTTACCTAAGGGACCAATTTCTTCCTTTTGTTCTGTCCTGCTCCTTAAGGTCAACTAAGAGCAAACTCCTGCAAGTCCCATGAGTGCATCATGTTTGCCTGGCAAAAACACATAGGAGGTCGCTCCAAGGCCTTCCAGAACCTGGGCCTGGACATATTCCAGAAGCACTGTAAGATCTCATTTGGGCAGGCATTTAGCAAGCTAACCTAAGTTGAGATATCATTTAAGGAGTTTGTGTGTTACATTCTCATGTTATACCCTGCCTGCTTTTATACAGTTATTTTTCCTCTTGTAAGCTTCCCTGAGCCTTTGTGGGCAAGAGCAGCAAATAAATCTAATAAATACACAGCTAAATTAATATTAATATCATTGAGAAACCAAGTGTTTTAGACCAGGGTGGGAATGGTCAGCCAAAAATTAGCTAACACATGATAATCTAGCAGGTTATAGTCCCATTTCCCTTCTCAGGTACCCAAAAGAAAAATCAGGTCCTAACCATGCATTTTCCCTCATAAAAGCACAGTTTTAAACAGCCTCAAGTAGCTGCCATCCTCTCGTCAGCCTTCCAGTCTCATTTTCTCCCCTAAATCATGTTTTAACAATTTTGTTTTCAGTTTAAGGTGATCTAAGGCCTTAACATTAATCAGTTTAAATTCATCTAGAGCTTTAGCTCTTTAAGCAGTTTAAACTGATGTAAGGCCTTAGATTAGTTTAAGGTGATTAAGATACTTTAAAGCCCGAGATCAGTTGAAGACTTGGCAAAGCTGCAAAGTCAACAAGGAGGCTAGTAGAATCACTACAGTCTGCAACTGGTGCTTTGCTCCCCCATGCAGGGTGAGTAGTGTCAGCTGCTTTCCCAGTTCAGTTTCCCAGTGAAGGAAGTGAACAGAGCTCTATATACTCTCTGAATATACTCTCCATTTACCCCCTTCCTTCCCCCCACCAAATTTCTGGACCCTTGGGGGGCCCCACAAGCCAGATGACACAGTTCCAAAGGCTGGGGGTCGAGCACCCCCGCTCGAAGCCATGTGCTCTGGAGCAGAGACCTCCTCTGTGGCTGCAAAGCCCATGCATGCCTAGAGCTGAGATTCTGTCGGCCTTTCCCCAGACATCATCTCATTCAGTTTCTTGTACCATTACAGTGCCCATCCTTTGTCTTCAACATTTGTGTTCTGGTGTCTCGCCCAGACAGTTCTGCCAATGCAACTCAGCCTTGATTTGCAGCACCCCAGGGCTTTCTCACAGCTTTCCAGTGCCCTGTAATCTGAATCCAAGTTTTCAAACATGAAATGGCTGTGTCTCCAAACACAGAGCCAGCAGATGTGTGCTAGTACAGCTCTTCATCCTTGCCTTTCAGTCATTAACCAAAGGGAATCCCTTAACAGTACAGAGCTTCTGCCAGAACCGTCTGTGTTTTTTACAGCAAGACCTTGGCCAGGGGGAGGGAGGCAAGGCTGGGGTATCTGTACTCCAGCTACTCCTGGCAGGCGAAAAGACCTCTTGAAGCTGAGGACAGCCAGGCAGGACTTAAGCCTACGACTGGGCCAGTCCTCAGTTGGCCCAGAATTCTCAGAGCTGCCAGGATGACATACAACTACTTTTGTTCTCTTTCCCATTTCAAACTGGGCAAAATTCAGCCCATTTGGGCACCAGTGTAGATAATTATGCAAGATGCAAGGCGATAAAAGATCAGACCCTTGACTGTGCAGATGACTTGACCAGGACTCTTGAAGCTGGGTCAATGAAAATCAAGGTAGAAAAAACAGTTGAGGGATTTCAGAAATGACGATTGCTTGGCCTATCCCAGCTGAGGGAGTGGCAGAGCAGGGGTTCAAGAATAATACTTTAATAGACCACTATGTTGCCAGGTCCCTTCTGCAGGCTTATCTAGCTTTCAGACTGTGTATGTGCATGTTTATTGGGAAAGAAATGGAAGCTTTTGTGCCTGGGGCAGGGAAGGGTGGAAAACTAGGTACAGTCTAGACATTTTAATGCCCTGGAATTCTTGTGATAGAGGTCAGAAGGAAATAAGGGGCAGGGAAGGGAAAAGACATCTCCCACAGACAGGACAAGGAGACAGCATTTCTCATTCACTCACATTGTGAAGTTTTCCTCCATGAAACAGCGGTTCCGGAGCAGACCAGCCCACAATTGCACTCCAATGATGCCAAAGATGAAGAAGACAAAGAAGCAGAGAAGCAGAACATTCCCCAGCATTGGCAGGGTGTCCAGGAGCAAGTTCACTAGGATCCGCATGCCTGGAGGGAGGAAAGGGGGGGAAGGAGAAAAGAGAAAAAAGGAAAACAGAGAGCAAGAGAGAGGAGAAGAGGGAGGAAGAAGAAAGGAGACAAGATGGAGATAAGGGAGAGGGGAAAGAGAGAGATTAAAATAAAAGGGAAGCAGGTTGGAAATTCATTATAGCCCAAATCAGGCTGGAACTGCTGAACTGCCCTTTGGTCCCAGCCCCAGCTGATAGGCCAGTAAAAGTCATTATAGTTCAGCATCCTTTCTATTCCAAGCCTCACATTACAGCTCCAAAACAGAAAAGGCAAAGTGGCTTTTGGCACCAGCACAATTTTATCTGATATTCCATCTTCTACCTTTTCTGCAGAAGAGTGATGGAGTGAAAACACTGCTTTAAAACACGCACACCTTAATGCCACCATCCTTGATCGGCAGGGACTGAAAGTCATAACTGCTTGACGGCTGTACAGTGACCTGTGAGAATTGAATCAATGGTCCGAACCCAATTTGCCTAGTGGGATAAGCCTCCACATCACACACAGAGAAAAATTCCTTGTCATAACTGGCATGATTTGGCCCTCTCAGTGACAGTCTCATCAGGGGACCATATGGAGACCAAACTCCTTTTTCTCTAGCGACTCCTCCATGACAGGGCTGAAGCACACTGGTGGCAGGGCATAGCATGAGGGAGGCTTTCACTGCTGCTACCCCTGCAGTGCCTGTCCTCTATGTAAACAGAGGGTTTGTCCTCTAGGACTACCACTACAGCACCTTTGACCAGAGCCAAAAGTTCAAAACATTTTTTTTTCTTATTGCACAAAGAATTTCTATGGATTTCTTTTTCCCTTACTGGCTCACAGAGCCAAGGGACAAATTGACAGGGACAAGGGACCAACTTCATCCTCTGCTATATTAATTATGTTTCCTCTGTTCTCCAAGGATGCTAATATTTTAGAAATACTTCTGAGCATCAGCCAGGTTCCATTTCCCCCTCCCCACTTCCTTCTCCCTCTCCTCCACCGAGGCTCCCTTCTCCAAGGGTCCAGGGAATTCCATCATGGAAGACACTCCATGTAGGCCAGCATATAATTAGATAATTAGGTATTTATAACCAGTTCATTACTTCAGATGGCAGCTGGAAGGGGAACGAGGAGGGAAAGATAAGATTAGGATTCAGTGCCAGCCCCTTGAGGCCACAGTTAATCCCCTTTTTATGCCCACTGTCAAGTAATTAACCGTATCAAGTTGCACTTTACACTGTCTCAAATTCCTGCAAGGTCCTGTTCACACTGCAGGAGAAAAGTGGACTCGGTTGTGAGGTGTGCAATTGCATACAGGCTTAGTGCCTATGCTTGTGGGGGCAGATCAGTGTCTCCTGTTGCACATGGGGATGTTTGCTTATTGTGCATAAGGTTAAGATGGTAGGGGTGGAGAAGGAGGGAAGAGTGTATTTATATGACAAAAGAGAGTAGGTGTATGCAGGCAGTGATGCATATTGCACATGTATGGAGAAGGGCAGGAAGTGTGTGCATGTGCTAAGAAATGCTGAATTCGCAGAGGAGGTGGGAGAATGTATACTTCAGCCTCACAATCTGTGGGGCCTATGTTGCCCTGAGGAAGATGTTTTGGTGAATGTCCTTTTCCTTTTGGTTCCACTGCTGGAGGGAGTGGAAGGTCTGGACGATGTGATATTTGATAAATTTAATACCAGATTGCTGGCACTGCATGTGTGCATACACAGTCCTGGCAATGTGAGAGAATTTAGGTGTGAGACAGCAGTGGGTTATGCATGAGACAGAGAAGGTAAGGGGCAGCGACTAAATACACCTCTTCAAGAGTTAAGGAACAACAATCTGCAGTGGGTACAAAGCTTCAGCCTCCTGGCTGCCCAGATGTGTCATTATTCACCAGTTATTCAGCATCTAGCCTGTGCATTCATAATTCACTAATGCAAGGTCACAGCTCCAACCTCTTGCCTGGGCATAATGGACAACACCATTATCCCAGCCAGCTTCCTGATTTGTAATAATACAAAGCCTAACAGCCTCACCATCATGTGCCCTGTGCACTGCCAGGCCCTCTGACCTCCCCAGTCTCTGGGGCAACCTCCTCATTGCCACCCAACAGTTTCATAGATTCAGATTCACAGACTGTAGAGTCAGAAGGGACCACAACAGATCATCGTGTCTGACCCCCTGCCCTTGGCAGGAAAGAGGACTGAGGTCAGATGACCCCAGCCAGGTGTCTATCAAGCCTCCTCTTGAAGACCTCCAAATCAGGAGATAGTACGATCTCTCTTGGAAGCCCACCACCACACATCAATGCAACACGCTTCCAGCAATAACACTGCCTCAAACAGTGATTTTATAAGCTCTCAGAAACCAGACTAGGTCAGTACTTTTATGAGAGACCTTAAGGGAAACCCAGGTATTGTAGGAGGCTGTGGAGGTAACTCAGCACATGGCTGACTCTTCCCAGAGGTGTAACCATGCAGCCAAGCACCTGAGCCAGCTACAACACAGAGGCAGCAGTGTCACCAGGGAGTCACCAATGCAACTGAATGCCTGCAGTGACAGCATTTTTCCCCTGCATCCCTCCCTTCCAAATCACTACCCAGGGTAGCTTCCTTGGTCCCCCTGCCCTACTTACACCAGTGACTCTTTCCACTGAGTGGGTGTGTCTACACATGCATTTACTCCTGCTTAAATTTACTGGGCAGTAAGTAGGAATAGGCTGGCGTCTGCATGTGCAGGCATTAAAACACATGAATGCTGGGTGTGCTCTGACTTGGGACTAAAGTTAGTCCCAAGTCAGTCCACACACACAGTGTTACTGTGCAGTAAGGTGTCTACATGTGCATCATTGTGCAGTAACTAATCAGGCGTAAATTTTTTTACCTGCATGATGCAGGTATCAAATTTATGCTCAAGTTGGCGTAAGTTGCCATTTTTACTGCACAGTACAGAGGTATATGCATATACATGCACCCATAGTGACCAGTAATTTTGCTTACTGCGCAGTAAATGCACACGTGTAGATGTGCCCAGTCAGTACTAAACCAATACGCTGCCATGATGTGATGGGGATCATGCTGCATCCAGATGAGACACAGGACAGAGGTCTTGACTAGAGTTGCGCAGAAATATTCAGAAGAAAAATTTCTTTGGCAGAATATGCCAATTTGGCAAAATCAAAGTGTTTCACAGGGGCAGTGAGACTGAGTTGGAGTTCTGAGGGAAAATAGATGGGTTTCAACACTTGCCTGCCTTTTCCAAGGAAATCTGCCTCAGCTCCTGACATCTTGCCTGTGATGATGGGCTGCTGCGGGGAGCCCAGGCTTCTAGGTTCTCTGGCTCCAGCACAGCCAGCTGTATGGACTTCCCTCTGGGATGGGGACAGCAGGGCTTGCAATGTCTGTGATGCCAGGCAGCATGCCAGGCAGTGTCCCAGGGAACTAGGTTCTCTTTCCTTTCCCAGAGAATTATTTTTTTTTCACTCTTAATTGGGCTGAAACCAAAATTCAGAAATATCAAAATCTCCCATAAAATAGAATTTCCTTTCACAGCCAGTTTTCCTCATTCAAGCTCCAATGGAATTATTTCAAAGGCAAGAGGGTTTAACTTGTTGCAACTAAATGGCAACCGGGATGATTCTATCTGCCTAATGTCCCTGAGTTGATTCCCTCATTTCAAATTTCATTTCCTGCCCTAAAATGTTCTGCACTATAAAGTGTTTTACCCAGACACTGCTGCTTTTCAGCCCAGGACAAGGTGATTCCTATGTGTAAAGTTTGTTCAGTTTGTAAAAGTTGCAAAATCCTTAAGAATTAATTTGGCTGAAAGGTGCTATGTAAATACAAGTTCATTATCATTGCACCCTCAGTTCTTTCACCCGCTACTTACATTATTGCACTGCCTGTATATAATTATAGCCAGTCTCTTAGCCATGTCCCCTACAGAATGATCACACTGCACCTGCTGCCAGCTGACCTCACAAGTCTGCAGGCCTGGTTGTTACTGAGGGCTAGTACATTTTGATGTCTTGCAAAAATGGAGCAGGTATGTACTGTCATGGCATATTGATTCTGTCCTCAGAGTTAGTGCTAACCCATACTGGTGTTTTGGTCTGAGCTCTACCAGGCTTATGAATTTGCTACCCTAGATGGGTCTGCACACAACACTGCTCCTGAAGCCAGGAAAGGGCCAGGCTGTCTTGTGTCACTTCCTCACTCCTTTGCACCCCATTAGATGTGGAGCAGGCTATGATTGAAACTGTTGGGGAGCGAAAGCTTAGTGGCCACTGGGGCCTGAATCAATAGAGCAGTGAAAAAAACGAACCTCCCAAAAGGCCAAAACCTAGCTGCTTCTGCTAGGGATCTTTGTCTGGTTCACCCAGGACTGATCTCATACCTGGCCCTGATTTAAATTCAGGGCTCTGGCTCCCTTTGAAAAGTGGTCCTGCTCAGTTGATTTCAGGGATCAGCTCTAGCTCCCTGCTCTCCTTGGCCCCAGCCTTCCCCATTCGGAAAGACCTGATTTTCCAATCCACTGATGAATGCTTTCTACCACCATCCCCTCAAGGCCTTTGAAGAAGAAAACAGGCAGACCAGAATCAAAGAGCAGTGGCATTGCAATGTGCTGGCAGGATCTATCTGGCCAGCAGGTAGGGGACATGACTGTCTCTCTGGCCTTTCAAAGGAAGGTATAGAGGTATCTAGAAGCCCTGAAAGAAAGAGGGAAAAAACCCTGAAGGGCTTAAGGACAGGAGGTTGGTGGTTCACTAGACACCCTGGAGATTTAAAGGGTAGGGTCATCACAGCTAGCCAAGTGGGGCTCCTGGTCAGCAGAAGGCAGGGTGTGAGGAGGAACTGCATGTAGTCACAGGCAGTGAGGAGACAAGTAGCAGCAATGAGAAAGCTGTCACCCAGAGGTGGACACATACAGCACTAGCAGTGACTTTCTTTCCATTCAAATCTGGTTTTAATAATGTCCTAGCTCTGGGGAATCTG